ACCAGAGGCACCCAGGGGCCCGCAGGGAGCCAGAATCGGGTGTTGCTAGAAGTACCCCTGGCCCAAGGTGCCCCCGGGATTTCTGAGCAGGCCCCCACAGCCTCCAGGGCACCCCTCCAAGATGGAGCGAAAAGCTGGGGGGCACCTCGGGCCAGGGGCACCTTCAGCAACCCCCGACGGAAGCGCCACAGCAAAGACACCGCAACGGGCCGAGCCCCGATGCCTCTTTATCTTGTCGAGGGGGAGCGGGGAGCACGAGCACAGAGCTACTCCAGGCCTGGCCTCGACCGCTGCGCGGGTCAGAACGACCGGGAACACCACACCAGCGGACATGGGATGGGCAAAGTCCTGCACTGAATCGTGGCCTGAACGGGTTCGTTTCGTCTTGTATCGAACCCAGACGCTCCTCAACATTCCTCCTCCTCCTCCTCGTCCTCCTCCTCCTCCTCGTCCTCCTCCTCCTCGTCCTCCTCCTCCTCCGTCTCCTCCTCCTCCTCGTCCTCCTCCTCCTCCTCACCCCGTTGGCGCTCCCAACGCCCAACAGGAATCTTGTATTGAACAGATGCTGCAACCCAGACGCTCCCAGGCGGGGTGCGCGGAGCCGGCGGCAGCCGCCGGCACAGGAACGCCAGGGCGGCGCCGGGGCGCCCGAGCACCAGGAAGGACAGGATCGCTCCCGTGGCCGAGACTGCCTCCATTCCGAAAAGCACCTGCCGAGGGCGACGACCACGACGACGACGACGACGACGACGACGACCACCACCACCGCCTCTGAAGGTCTCCAGAGGTGCCTAGAGGCCTCAGGACGTTTCTGGAGGCCTCTGGACACCAGGCCCCACAAGGCCCGCACGAGGCCCCAACTGGCAGGCATCTACTGCACCCCCAAGGGGTCGGCGGTGCGGCGTGAGCCCGAGAGTCCTCTGAGGGGGCCCCCCCGTCGTCCCCGTCACGCCCAGGGGACTGCATCTCCCCTACTCCTGGGGGGTCCCTGAGCTGGCGCCTCCCTAAGGCTCTCCAAGGCTTCCATGACAGCCCAGGACGCCCAACCAGGCCGCCAAGAGGCCTCCAGGACAGCTCAAGATCGCTCCACGACGCCAAAGATGGCCCCAAGACTGCCCAAGAGGCCTCCATGACGCCCCAAGAGGCCTCCAAGACGCCTCAAGATACCAAAATCATTGATTGTCCTTCGGTGTTTAAAGTTTCTGGTCTTCTCGCATTTTCGGCTTCCCGACGCTCCAAGACGGCCCTCGAGGACCCCAAGATCGCCCCAAGACTGCCCAAAAGGTCCCCAAGACGGCCAAAGAGGCGGCAAAGACAGCCCCAAGAGGCGGCTCAGATGGGGGACCCGAACGGACATTTCGAGCCCTTGGCCCTGAGGGGGCCCCCAAGAGGCCCCAAGAGGACCCCAAGAGGCTCCCAAGAGGCCCGAGGTCTACAGGAGGCCCCAAAACTGCCCCCGAGAGGCCCCCAAGACCGCTCCGAAGTGACCCTAAGGAGCATCCCTGAGAACTCTGAGCCACAACCCAGGCACAGTGGCGGGACTTGCCGTAGGCAGCTGGCCTAGCTAATGCATTGAACCCTCCCTCTCAGCGTTGTCCCCTCACGGAGTGCAGCTGGTCTTCGCAATCTATTCTGGATCACTTCTTGCCTCCACCGTCTGCTGCCCCATCCTCCTTCGCCACGGTGCTACCAAGGTGCAGTTGTTGTTTCTAGGCTTGCTGCTAATTGTTGATCCCTGTTACGGCCACATGGTATGCAGAATACACATACCATCCGCTGGGGTTTCGACCCCTCATTTGAAGACCCTCACTCCGAGGCCGTCCCCTCGTATAGGACATCTCATGCGTTGACCATCCATTCTGGATCTATGACCCGCCACCCGCTGACCCCACCGCTGAGGTCTTGGCACCTCATGCGTCGATCCCTCCTCCTGCCGTGGCGCGGGCCCTCATGCATTGATCCCTGGCGCGGGAAGTACGGCCATTCATACATTGACCACCTTTCATGGACGGGCTTAGACCCATCACGCTTTGACCCCATCAGATTGAGGCTGCGCCCTGACATGTGCAGATATAGGGACAAGTCGCCATCCAAAGCTGTGCAGTACGACACTGTCGTGATCCTTGTGCTCCTCCTCCTCCTCCTCCACCGCCTAGTCATCCTCATCCTCCCCTTCTCCTCCTCCTCCTCATGCTCCTCCTCCTCCTCCTCGTCTTCTTGTTATGATTCGTATTATTATTTATATGGTTACCCTTAGTATTCGCATTCGTCTTGTTATCAGTAGTATGGTTATTCGTAGTATAAGTGTTCGTAGTGTGTTATTCCTCTTCTTTTTATTGGCATTACTCTTCTTAGTAGTAGTAGTAGTAGTAGTAGTAGTAGTAGTAGTAGTAGTAGCAGTAGTACTCTTAGTTGTATTAGTAGCCGGTTATTATTAATATTCGTAGCAGGGTTAGCAGTAGTATTAGTAGTATTCGTAGTACTATGATTATTCGTAATAGTACTCTTATTAGTCGTAGTATGCATATCCTTCCTCTTACTATATCAGTATGCTTCGTATTATTAGTAGTATTAGCATTCGTCGTCGTATTATTATTAGTGATATGCTTCTTCGCATTCGTCGCATTAGTATTATTAGTCTTCTTCGTATTATTCCTATTAGTACTTGTAGTCGTCTTCTTTTTGTTATAGTATGATTCGCTTTCTCTTGTTAGTACTATGCGTCCTCCTCCTCCTCCTCCTCCGCCTCCTCCTCCTCCTCCTCCTTCTATTCCTCCTCCTCCTCCTCCGCCACCGCCTCCGCCTCCGCCTCCGCCATCTCTGCCTCCTCCTCCTCCTCCTCCTCCGCCTCCTCCTCCCCCTCCTCCACCTCATCCTCATCATCTTCTTCCTCCTCCTCCTCAAAATCCTCCACCTCCTCCCCCTCCTCCTCCTCCTCCTCCTCCTCCTCCTCCTCCTCCTCCTCCTCCTCCTCCTCATCCCCCTCCTCATGTTCATCGTTTCTCCGTGGTCTAGGAGTCGAACTCGCATTACTATTATCCCAATACGACTAGGGTTACGATACGGCATAGCATTGGAACCTGTACGATTAATACTACCAGTTTTGGTAGCATCACTATTAGTTGTTCATAGCAGGGTGATTCTTAGTAGCCGTAGTATTCTTCCTACTGGCACGATGATTCATAGAATCGGTCGTCTTAACGTTATTATGATGAGTAGTATGAGTAGTATGGTTCGTCGTCTTAATATTCTTCGTGTGAGTTGCATTCGGAATCGTCTTCCTCGTGTCATTCGTCGTGGTCGTCTTCTTCGTCGCAGTCTTCGTAGTATTCGTATTCGTGTTCGTCCTCCTCCTCCTCGTCCTCCTCCTCTTCCTCCGTGTCCTGCGCGCCTTCCTCATCAGACTCCGCATCACCCTCCTCCCCCTCAACAGCATCATCAGCATCGTCAGCATCAACATCATCATACTCAGCATCATCAGCATCAGCATCATCAGCAGCATCATCATCAGCATCGGCATCGTCAGCATCGTCATCATCAGCACCACCAGCATCAGCATCAGCAGCATCGGCATCAGCATCAGCATCAGCAGCAGCATCAATCTCATCATCTGCATCATCCGCATCATCATCATCGACATCAACATCACCAGCATCATCACCGTCAGCAGCATCAGTATCGGCATCATCAGCATCAGCATCACCATCCTCATCAGAACCATTCTCATCAGCAGCAGCACCATCAGCGTCGTCATCATCAGGAGCAGCAGCATCCTACTCAGCAGCATCATCATCATCCTCATAATCAACATCATCAGCATCATCATGAGAGACGTCAACATCATAATCAGCAACATCATAATCACCATCATCAATATCACCATCAACATCATCCGCATCAGCATCCTCGACATCCGCCATATCCTCATCATGCGTATCCTCCTCCTCATCATCAGCAGCATCAACAGCATCATCATCCTGCTCCTGACCATCATCCTCCTCCTCATCATCATCATCAGCGGCATCATCAGCGGCATCATCATCATCATCATCAGCATCAGCAGCAGCAGCATCAGCAGCATCATCAGCATCAGCAGCATCATCATCATCATCAGCATCATCATCAGCATCAGCATCCTCGTCATCGTCGTTATCCTCCCTCTCCTCATCCACCTCCTCTTCTTCCTCCTCCTCCTCCTCCTCATCCGCTTCCCCCTCCTCCCCCTCCTTCCCCTCCTCCTGCCCCTCCCCCTCATCCTCCTCATCCTCCTCCTCCTCTTCATCCGCCTCCCCCATCTTCCCCTCCTCCTGCCCCTCCTCCTCCTCCTCCTCCTCCTCCTCCTCCTCCTCATCCCCGTCCCTATCCTCCTCCTCCTTCTTCCTCCGCCTCTTCGTCCTTCTCCTCCTCTTCATCCTCCTCCGCCTCCCCCTCCTCCTCCTCCCCCTCCTCTTCCTCCTCCTCCTCCTCCTCCTCCTCCTCGTCCTCCTCCTCCTCCGAATCTTCCCTCATACTCCCTCCTCCTACCCCTCGTCCTCCTCCTCCTCCTCCTCATCATCATCGTCATCAGCAGCAACATCATCATCATCAGCATCAGCAACAGCAGCATCATCATCATTATCATGAGCAACATCATCATAATCATCACCTTCATCATCATCATCAGCATCAACAGCATCATCATCATCAGCATCATCATCATCAGCAGCATCGTCGTCATCATGTTCAGCATCATCAGCACCATTATCAGCAGCAGCATCATCATCAGCATCATCAACATCATCATCATCATGATCATCATCATCTGCATCATCATCGTCCTCCGCCTCCTCATCCGCCTCTTCCTCCTCCTCCTCCTCCTCCTCCTCCTCCTCCTCCTCCTCCTCGTCATCGTCCTCCTCTTCCTCCTCCTCCTCCTCCTCCTCCTCCTCCTCCTCCTCCTTCCCTTCCCCCTCCCCTCCCCCCTTCCCCCCCCCTTCCCTTCCCGTCATCCTCCTCCTCCTCCTCCTCATCCTCCTCATCCTGCACAGCAGCGACGGGCACCCTCGTAAGAATAGGTGGGCTGGCATCAAAGTGCTCGCGGGCGGAGGATGTTGCAATCTCGGCCCCAGACTCCAGAAAGTCAAGGCTCACCAGAATCTAGACATCCTGGCCCTGACAATGAAGAGTATGGTTTAGCGCGCGGCAACGATGCCGCAGACAGCGCTTCCAAAGTCGCCGCGAACCTTGGCAGATAATCCAATCCAGCCGAAGCAAAGCAGTATCAGAGTGACTCGGCCCTCGTAGGAACAAGGTGCTGGCCAAGCCCGTCAAGAGCATCTCCCCTCCACCGGGGGCTGCTTCGGCCGTGGCCTCCTGGGACCCTGGGGCCCCGACTCTAGCTCCTCCTCATCCTCCTCCTCCTCCTCCTCCTCCTCCTCCTCCTCCTCCTCCTCCTCCTCCTCCCCCGCCCCCCGACGGCCCTCGAGAGACCCTGAGGGCCCACGCCTGGGCGACTGTCAAGGGCCAGCGCCGATACACGACGATTTGCCGCATCCGCGTCCGCTCAATCAAAGCATTGGAGGAGCGGCACCAGGCAATGGACTGCCCTGAACACTGCCCCCAGATGTTCAGCCTTGCCTCCAACCCTCGGGGGCAGACTTTATTCGAGTAGGAGCACCGTGAGCAGCCAACGAACATCCTGGTGTGTCACTCGTGCGGGTCGTTCAAGCAT